TAGGACATTCCTTTTTTGAATATAGTTATTAAAATTGTCTTCTACACATATGTATACTTAATGTAACAGTAGAAGTTGCATAACAGTATTGCCTAGCAAATTGCCTAAGAACCTACAGCTTCCTTTTCCATATAACAACATGACCTTGCTTATGTGCTCTGGTCTTTTGTTTCTTTAACTATCAAACTGGAAATTTTGAAATCAATAGCTTTTCTTTTTCCTTCTAATGACCTAGCCTTCCCTTTCATTTTTCATAAGTAAGTTCGCAGTGGGGACAACCAGTTTATAAAACAGACAGAATGGAGATGCTCTGGTTGAAGTGGGAGTTGAAGACTGTCACAGCACCCCCAGCCCCATGTTGCCCCAGTCCCCTCAATGCCCCCGACTCTGAGGGGTACTACTCTGAAAACTGTGTCACTCAGTGATTTCCAGGCCCAACCTTCTGAGTTTTCAATTGCTCCATCAATGCATGCCCACTGTCACCACCTGGAATCTCTTTCTGAGCTGGGCCCATCACTCCTATTCACGAGGTCTTCGGAAAGCATGTAGCCTTGGTGATTCCCATGGCCACTGTGGGTCACCCACACTCCCAACCTGGCTGCCCTGTGGTTGCTGGCCCTTCCCCACCCTCACCGTTGCTATGGCAACTGCAAACCATTCCTGGCAAAGGCAAGAAAGGGCAGCCATGGAACTGGTGACCTTCCACCTCTCCCAGATGGCCCAAGAGGAGCTGGTCTCACATAGAAACTGACCCAGTTTATATCAGCCACATAAACGCTCTGCATAAAAGGCTGTTTCTTCTCTTTTTCTTGCCAACAGGTGTCACACATCACACGGGAACACAAGGGGCGAACAAATGCAGTATTTTGGTGACAGGTATTTAGTTAGTTAAACTTCTTTTCTTAAATGTCAATGTAAGTAATTCACCCCACCTCCTCTAAAGTGCCTTTCTAATTTGACTTTAATTATTGCAATGACTGTCTAATTCAACTCCCTGTGGTCTGACTCTACTAGACAGACCGATAGCTTAGGAGACCCCTTCCCCTATCCGCACAGACTCCGCCCATCCATGAATGCTGCAAACAAGCAAATCAACATGTGTGAAAACACCAAGCACCTGCCAGCTCCTAGCTGGATAAACATAAACAATCCTGTACATTTTTGGTAACTCCATTTCCTCATCTGGAAAATAGGTGCACGAATGGCCCTGCTGAGCTTTTATAAAGACTCAGTGAGTAATCACATCTACATAAAACGTACTGAGCAGCGTCTGGCACACAGTTAATGCTCCAGGCAGGTTAGCTATTCCTGTTGTGATTGATTTTATTCCAACCATTAGGAGAACTGAGGAATATTATCATCCCACCACTCAGTGCAGAATTCCAGGGACTGCAGTCAACATATCTATATTCCCTCTGATTTATACTGGGCAACTCTGATGATCACTGAAAATCTAAGGGAATTTTTTTTTTTGGCTTTACATTTATCTTTCTAATATTTTCTACATCCTACAAATGCCAGGAAGAGGCAGTGGAAAGACACCTTCTCTTCTAGGAACGAACAGAACAGTGACAAGCGTGTAGGTCATTCTGGTATCCTAAAGAGCATTTTTATTTCAAGTCCCATAACTCTAGCTTCACCAACCCTCCGAGCTCGGGAGTGAGAAAACCATCATGATCTTGAATCATTTCCAAGACTGCCTAGTCCAAACCTTACGTGAGAAAGCCCAGGACCTCATTCAGGTACTGAAGCCACTGCTTAAGCCAGCAGTGGACTGAGATTGGGCTGTGGCAGTATTCAGTGGACCCATTTGCAGAAAGGGGATAATGAACTTGAAGGTTGAATAAATTCTTGGCTATTCACATAGGACAGAGATCTTATTTGACCCAGAAATGGGCTGTCATCAAAGTGTTATGTGATCATTGCATAAATGTATTTTCTTAGAACCAGGGGAGAATTTTATAGCTTTCAAATTCTCAGACTTCCATGATCCAAAAATAGGTTAATAACTACTCTTAATTTTTCAGTTTTTTTTTTTTTTACATTTTCACTGCTTCCATAAAAGGCTGTTTCTTCTCTCTTTCTTGCCAACAGGTGCCAGCACTTCACTCATGTAAAATGACACTAGCGGGGGGGAGAAAAGACCAAAAGAGAATGAAGGGTCATTCTAATAAGATGACTGTCATATTACTGCACATCCAGACTTCCTTAAAATCTTAATCCAGAAACCAGACTTCCTCGAAATTCTGCCTGTATCGAGCGGTACTGAGGAGTGAGATGCAGGAGGGGCAGATGCACACACTTGCCTCCAATCAGGTGGAATTTTCAACCTGGCACACCATCTTGAACATCTTGGGATCAGAGGATAGCCTGCATTTCTAGAGAGGTTTCAGTTCATGGACAGGACACTGAACTGGTCTGACCAGGTTTCCCCTGTGTTGTGTGCAGTCACCCAAAGTCAGGACACTCTCCGTCTCCTTCCGGAGAGTCAGCCCCGTCTCTTCACCGGCTACCAAAGTAAAAGGGCTCTCCCAAACACCCAATCACCCAATCACCCTCTCCCTGCTTTCACATCTTCTATAGGCAAAACCTCCCTAGCTCTTTTGTCTGTTTACTCATTCATCACAGAGCCACTTAGGACACAGCAAATTCTTTAATAGAGCCATGCAAAGACCCACAACACTCTTCTGTCAATAGGATATTATTTTAAAGGACAAGCCAATAAGATTTCCCACATATGACTGTTTCACGTGCATGTATTTATGAACCAGATGGTAAAGCTTTTTTCTTTTTTCCTCTCTCTGGTATTTGAACATGAGGAGACTGTATGTAGAAGACATCAAGTGTGCTGTCAGTCTTCCCCACACATAACACAGGCAATCACATTTTTTAAAAAAAGTAGCAATGATGAAGCCTCAAAATCAGCAGCCAAAGATGCTGGGGAGAGGTTCTTAGACAGAGCTGGAAGCCCCAAGTCCAGCCCCGATTCTCTGCATCCAAACCAAAGGCAATGTCTCCCCTCTTCATGTTCAGAAGGATTAGAATTCCTCCGGAATCCTACACTTGAGTGTGTAGGGCTTGAGTTCTGTCTTGACACATATATTTTTAAGTTTGCAGCTAGAAGGGTCCCTGAAGGCAAAGAGTTTCTCCTTCCCCATGCTGCCCCTCCATTGCCTGTTTACAGCACTGCTTTCTTCTTCCTTCTTATACCCAACTAAATTGAAAATTTCATCACCAGTGTCAGAAAATTAAACCCCAGGGAGCAGAGCAATAGCCCAGAGCATCCCTTCCCTGGCTAAGAGCCAATCCTTGAATATAACTTTCGGAGGCTTAAAAGGATGCAAAACAGAGCCATTTAGAAGCATGGTTTTTGACAGCTAAAATCTCTCCGACTGCACTCCAACTCTTCATTGCAATTACTTTGTTAAAAAGAGAAAGAACATATTTCAAATTGGAGACTGGTTTCATGAGAGAAGAAAGGGATGTGACCTAGCCGAGTTGCACACTTCCCAGGCAGAAAACGGCAGCGCACCCAGAAGAGATGCTTCTTTCTGTGGCTGAGGGTGTGAAGTGTTTGACAGACCATTGTAATAACATCTCTCTTCACAATGCAAACACCAGCAGCACAATCAAGCAGCTCATGGCTGGGCTCTGTGCCTGCACCTTGCTCTCTCTTCCCAGCAATGCACAGGGAGGGTTGACTCTTACTAATTTAATTCCAAAAGCATCTTTCTTTTAAGTGAATCAGTGCCCGGGGAGATAAAGCAAACTCCACTCCTCACGCTGATCCTAACTAGACAAACCAATGTGTCAGTATAATACACGGTCAACTACAAATCCGATCATACCCAAGCAATGCAAGCAGCCTTTGGAATAGAGAAGCGCACACATCACGGGGAACCCTACAATGCCTGTTCTTCCATGTGCTTGTTCCAATTCACGGTTTTCTCAGCAGACAATAGGACAAAGCTACATTTTAGCTCAGGCTGCTAATACCAGCGGACAGACGTGTAAGACTGAGGTTTACTCACCAAGCTCCCGTAAGTCCATCTTTCCCAACTACAAATACTGCTTCTAAGCTGCTGTCGCCGCCAAATGACTTAAAGTCGTCCCCCAGAAGAACAACGTGCTGGAATACCAGACGGTCCCTGAGTAAGCTTGTTCACGAAATAGGTTTCCAGTTGAGCCATGTGAATGGAGACCCGCTGCACACCTTTGAATGGTATACACTTCAAGTCCAGAAGAATAAGCATGTAGCTTTGCTTATGTTTATGGAGCTGGAGCCCAGGGGTGCTCCGATTGGCAGGAATCGCAGAAAGATCAGCCAATCAAAGGGAGCCTCCATTTCAGGGAAACTCCTGCTCATTTATGTAGCATCTTCAGAGACCATCGGCTTTTCTAGGAAGAGCTTTTTTCTTCTAGTATCACAAGAGAAAACAATAACTTCATTTAATTTTCGTGCCCTATGCTCTTTCATCAGTAAAGATATAGCTCCTCTTCTTGGTACTCCGTCATGCTCCCCCTTTTCTTATAAAGAACTAAAAACAAAAGGAAAAGAGGAAGAAGAAGAAGAAGAAGAAGAAGAAGAAAGAGCTGGTGGTGGACTGGAGATAGTTCATATTCATCAGCCTCCACCTTGTTGGGAGAGAGGAGGGGGGAGCGCCCGGGCTCAATAATGACTGATTCTGTTGCCATGGAAACAGACTGGCTGCAGCGAGTTGGATTCGTGTAGAACATCTGCTGCCAGACCCATAATCAACTGCGAGCTCATCCCCCCCCCTACTTTTATTTGATTGTGAGTTTGCTTTCTCCCTCTCTTTCTTTACATATAGTTTTTTTTTTTTGTCCAGAAATGTCACGTAACAGCCTCACTTTGAACACACAGCACACGCGCGCCAAGGGTGCTCACAATACCCAGAAATGCGCTCATGCAAAAGCGCATCCCAGCCGAGTTGCCATACTCTGATTCCTACTCGGGATGTAAACAAACACACACAGCCCCTCCTGGGCCGCCACCTCTAACTAAAATGTACTCTAATTCCCTAAAGAATTAGTGGGCTACCTTTTAAAATATTATCGAACATCCCTAAAAGCCCTCAAATAAAAGTTCGCAATGGCACTTTTCCAGGGCACTGTGTGGTTCCTAGTCGACCTTTGGAATGAAGCGACTAAACCGGGAAGCTTGCGGAAGAAAGCATGCACAAAGCCTTAAGGCTCAGCTTCTTCTCTGTATTAGCACCTGGCCAAGGCGCCCGGTACACCAGGGATATCCCTGAGGATCTCCTTGGCTCATTTACATCCCCTCCGACTCCTCCCTTGCTTGCTCCAGATTCTTCTGGTTGCATGACCAGTTAATGTCACACTCTGGATGTGCTGCTATCTTTCTCTTCAACAGCAGGGGCCGCCACTGAGCAACGAATGTCTGCATGGCCCAGTCAGACCCGGGGCTGGGGATCAGATGGCGGTAATCTCACACGTGGGTCTGCGGGAAGCCCTCAGTTCTACAGAGACTGACTGTAAATGGGAAGTGTCAGAGAAAACTATGATTCTGGCTTAAGACAGAGAGAAAGGAATTATTCTCTGTCCCTTTGTCATGAATCGTAAGGAGAGCCTTCTCTTCCCTAAAGGTCTCTGCAAGCCTGGTGCCCTCAAGCTATACATGACATGGACCAGGCTTTGGAGGGAACTGAGCCTGGCTCTTTGCGTGTCTCTCGGAGCCAAGGTGAACTAGTCACTTACCTCTCACCCAGTCTCATAAGCAACAGTAGCTACGGACTTCCCTTATTCCTAAACCACTCCCGGTCCAAACCCCATGTCCATCTGTCTCCAGGTGCTCAGCCCTGGCCCCAGTGGTCTTGATGTTGTATTTGCCTTTTCAAGAATCTGAATCCTGGCTTTCCATTTTGTCTTTTTGTGCCACTGTGCACTGGTGATGGAATTCTCACTCAAGTTCTGCCTTCCACGCACCCAGCAGTCTTTCCCAGCTCTGTCTAGACTACCTCTACTCCGAGAGCTATGGAGAGCTCAGGTTTTCTCTACCACCTTTGTGGAACCTTTCTAATCTCACCTGTCTACACTCCTCTGGACACCTACCCTTTGCCTTCTCATCCTCCTGAGACCGTCCAAATGGCTGCTGTTTTTATGCAGAAACATGTCATTCCAACCAGCTCTTCCCTGGATGAAAACTTAATCAAAATATAACTGTTTGTTCCACAAATAGTGAGTGTTTATGTGCCAAACACTGTGTTGGTGACAAAACAAACCAGCATGGTTTTTGCCTTGCAACACAATGACCCTAGCAGAGGAGACACAAAATATCGAAGTGTAACTTTCACACGGGGGATGAAGGAGAGCCTTGTGTTATGAGCACAAATAATAAAAAGACTGAACTTAGTGAGGTAAGGAAGGGTATCTCGGAGGAAGTGATGGTTGAGCTAAGATCTAAAGGAAGAGTAAAAGTTAATGAGGTGAGAGTGAGGGGAACAGTGTCTCAGACACAGGGGACAATACATGCAAAGGGCCTGCCAAGATGCCCACTGCCTAGGAGGAAGGGTGGCATCTTTGAAAACTTGAAAGAAGCCAAATGCAGCCAATTAGAGTGAGGACGATTAAAAGGGAGATGTGAGATAAACTTGGACAGCAAGCAGAGGTCAGAGCTGCAGGGTCCTAGAAACCACGTTTAGGAATTTGGTTTTTATCTTACAAGCAATGACAAGCCACTGAAGTCCTTTACTAAGTGACTCCCTGTGCCACCCGCCCCCACCACACACACATCTATCTAACTCAATATATTCCCTAGTTAATCCCAACAACGAGTTAACAGGATACCAATCTGATCGAAACAGTCAAAGTCAAGGCATCCATAGCGTATTGGACTGATTTGGCTAACATTTACGAAGCAGTCAATAAATAGTCCAGGAGGCATTTTATCTGGGTTAACCAATTTAATTCTCATGACAACCCTGTGAGGTGTTACTATCATTCTCCCTATACACAGCGTGAGGAAATGGAGGCATAGGAAGTTATGTTAACTTGACCAAAGTTACAAAGATTAAAAAGTGGCAGAGCTGGGATTTGAACCAAAGGATTCTAGCCCTAGTTTAGTTTCTTTAAGTGTGATTTACAGGGACCAGATCATTTGGAGTTCTCAATAAAATGCAGATTCCTCAAATCCCACTGTATCCCTCCTAACCCACAGCCCCAGGACTGGAGTGTAGGAACATCTTCCCAAGCTCTCCGGGGGATTCCTGTTTACATCACAGTTTGAGACTCACTGCTAAGAGATGTTTAAAAATAAAGGGGAAAAAACGCTAATTCCAAATTAATCTTTAATGTGTAAGTTGGAGAAGGGGGTCTCTCTATTCCAAGCCACCCCAAAGGACCCGTTTACATGAGAACGAGGTCATGTTCCTCTGACTGACTACCGCTTCTCGAGTTGAGAGTGGATACCCTAGCACAGTTTGGGGCTCCGTAGCTATGCTGGTGAGCAGGTATATGAAAAAAGAACAGGTGAGCTCAACAGAAAGACCAGGTTCACCAGATAGTTAGAGATGCTGTCACACCTGCCAGCAAGAAGACAGGTGGATCACATATTAATCGTGAACATATGAAATATTATACACTTTCTTTGGGTATGTTTTTCCTAGAAAATTCATTTTTAAGACAAAAATTACAAGGTAGACAGAGAATACTTTTTGGCCTTCTGTCTGATCCACCCCCTTGCATATTCAAAAGCTAGCAAGCAGGAACTTTGCTTCACCTAGCTAGTCATGGTTTTAGTTCTGAAAAATAAGCAGCTTCATATGCATTTCCAGAGGGGTCACTTGATACAGAATGGCTAGAGTCTTTGGGAAATATTCCGAAGAATTTTCCCATGGGATCTTGTCTAGGAGTTTTGCTACTGAGATCACAGACTGGGTTGGTTAACTTGACCATTAGAGGGTCTTCTTCCCTTGCTAGGCTGTGCAATGAAAAGAACACACTCAAACTGGAAGAGCTGCTGCTGAACCTCAAAAAACGGGAAACCCAGATTTTGTTGGCTTGACATTTGAACTTCTGCTTGTCAAGTCCCCAAGAACTGGTACAAAGCACACCTTTAATGGGTTTGCACTCTGCAGGCTCAAGATGGATGACTGGTAGTGTATCTAACCTTCCAAACACGTTCAGATTTATGATGTGCTGTCTACAGATAGGAGAAGGGAACCACAGCATCAAATACCTGGAAAACTCAGGGGGAAATAATCACGCCTGGGCATCTGAATACAATCTGAAGAAATCTCTTTCCATTTCACCCCACATTATAGCTTGTCCTGCGCTCCGTTCTGGGTAGGCACTGCTGGTACCATTTATCTGGCATTTGGGGGAGGGGGGACAGATTCAAGTTAATTAAATTCTATTCATTTCTATAAATATGATTTATTAGATGTATTATTACCAAATTTGATGTAAGTCGTACACCTTTGTAATAGGACCAGTAAATATAGTGACTATTGGGGAATGAGTTCTAAGCTGGCTGCCTAAAGTTTCTTTAGTCCGCCTACAGGTCTTCACTAACATGAGCACCTTTTATATCGGGCATCTAACAGAGCGCTGAAGAAGATCCCATTTACTGGGTTATAAAGAGGCGGCACTAATGACAAATCCTTCTGTTTGCCAACTCCTGGTCCCAGACAGATTATTACTTCCACAAGCTGGGCATCCGCTTCATCAGGCTGCACGCTCATCGTTGGCAATGATGTGATGGTAGTGGCCTCTTTAGTTCCTGACACAGCTACACTGAACCTCATTTTTGTTTGGTTGACTCATTCTTAAGAGGGAGGGCACTTCAATAAAATATATATATTTTTTCATATACATATGAAAAAAAAAGATGGAGGGCATTACGGTCAAATTGAGCCGCAAGTAAATTCCAAACACGTAGGCTCTGCACAAGGCTCACCTCCACATATATTTGCAGCCTTCTTAAGGCACCCTCCCTGTCTCCACTGTGCCCATGAACACAAGTGCACCAACAAACTGACTCCACTTCCACCCTGTCTACCAGAAACAGGCCCAGTACAGACTGATCAGACTGTGTCTTCCAAGGGTGTGAGGTCAGAAGTAAGGACTCTGTCCTAACAGGTTAGAAATGTAACTGCTATTGGCTCCATTTAACGGCTTTATTTCATTCAAGAGACACTGGAAAAATACTTCTCTAATCAGCCGGGCTGGCTGGTGTATAGTCAGCTCTGATGTTTTACATGGTGTCTTTTAAAACCAAACATACGCAAAGCCTCAGGTCAACATGGTCAGGATAACTTTTACGTATCTTTTTACCCCCAAGGGGTGATCATCATCATAACATTCCATAGAAAAATCCCCATACGCAGACAGCTGCTTTTCTTTTTTCTAACCCTCATGACGAGCAGAACTTACAAAGCCTGCTACGATGTCACTTTGTCTTTAAATCCCAGGATGTGAAACTCTACATGACATCACCTCAACATCCTGGGAAGATGAGAGAAATAATAGCAAATGCATATGCAGTGCCTCCAATGGGCCAACATAAAACACTTATTTTCCAGAAAGGATGACTAAGAGCCAGCTAAGGAGGTATGGACAGTGAAAGACTATGTCTATAGTCACCATCCAGTAAGTGGTAGACTCAGGATTCAAAGTCAGGTGTCTGTCTGTAAAGCACCACGAGCAGGGTACTACACCATGCCTCAGAGCTCCCACAGGTGAACTGCCTAGAACAGCTGGGATCGTTCCAATAGCATCCTAAGACTGAGTTATACTTTGTAACTCATATTATGAAGCATTAATATGAATTAGTTAATTTCCCTGAACTTTGCTATTTTTACATTTCCCTTAAAAATGCCTAAAATATAAGTAAATCCTCCAAACACTGAAATAAAAGCAGATCCACAAAATGCAAAGCCATCTATAAATAGGTCTCCAAACCATGCATTTCTTCTGCCCTCTTCAAGAGCCTGCATTGGCCTCTGACAGGTGATGACCATGACTTGCATTCATAGGGTTGGAGAGACAAGGTCTGGAAGTTCTTAGGGTGTGAAAAACTTGAGCAAATGAAATGAGCTGACCTGAGAATATGGGGGCCAGAAGAGCAAGGCCTGACATGATGCATTTCTTATTCTGACTGCCTTCAAAGGAATGGCTGGTGAAATTCTGAAAGCTTATCGAGTTGCCAACTCAATTTTTTCAAAAATACCATGGAAGTGCATTCTGGATGGAAAAATTATGCCAAAAGGAAAAATTAAAATGCCAAAATCCTCAGCTCAGCCTTGCCAAACATGTCTACTGGCAATATGGTGGCAAAAAGCTACTGGGCCAATGGTAGCATATTCTTTAGATGATGTGAAATGGGAAACAGCTTCCTCACCATTAGGAAAAGGGACGCTTCTGGGCTGTCATCACGTTCTTCTTGGTTTTCAGAGCTAATGCATAAGTAAACCTCTCCCAATTCTGAAACGTGTAATTTCACATGCAGATAATTCTATCTTTCTAGAAAAAAATTTAATTTCTGATATTCTTAATAAAAGGACTGATATTTCATTGCAGTTGGTAGAGGTTAAATCTATTGTTTTATCAAATGGTTAACATTTAATTTCCTTACTTTCTGTGGTCTTTCTGCTTTCAGATTCACAGACAACCCATGCGTCCTGGTCTCCTGTTATAACAGGGATTACAATTGCAACAGAACAGGGTAAACGGGGGATGAAGGAGAAGGATGGAGGGTTTGCTGAACAAGAGCGAAACCAAGAAGATAAGTAGATACAGGTTACTCAGGCAAGGAGGGAGGGAGAGGAAGAGATTTAGTCAGTCAATTCCCTGGAGGTCATGTTCTAAGACATGGAAGGGGATGGGCAAAGCAGAAGGAATTTGAGGGTTAAGAGGAAAGTCGAAGGGGTCCGTACAAAGCCAGACATGAAACCACAAGGTGAGGACACCCACAGGACCAAGGGGGTCACCATAGGAAATTCTAGAATGAGTCCTGTTTAAACTCAGTTATTTTTACTTTGTTCTTTGGTAAAGAAGTTGGCTTTGTCAGATGCTAGTCACATGACAACCATGTGCCCAGAGTCCCAATGAATGTCAGCAACAACCCGGCACCTCTCCAGGAAAACCAACTCAGAGTGTGACTACCCATGGCAAACCAGCACTGCCACCATAAGGCCAGGCTTGTCCTTAAACTCAGTCCTTCAATATCATCAGCTTGTATGAGCCAGATTGCTTGCAAACTGTTCTCTATCCTACTTCTAATTAAAGCGAGCTTTGAAATGTGAACCACGACCCCTAGGCAAATGATATTAACAGGTTATTCCCAACTCTCACAAAGAATGAGCTTTGCAAACTAATTTGTGCAGCAATTAAATTCAGACCAAGATATAATTTTATTTTATTGCTCAGTACTTGCCTGCATTTTTTTAAAGCCAGTAATTGCAGGAAGGAGTTAATTTGATAATATAAATAAAAATTGCCCCCAAGGGGCAATAACCAATCCATTTACATGCAAAAATGCTCCCCCTCCAAGTCATCCCAAGGCAAATATGAAACATGATTTCCAAAAGGCATTGCCTATAATTCTCTTAATACAGTGACAAGCATGAGAATTGTGAAGCAAATATTTCAAATAACCACATATGTTCAACCATAAATAACTTATATTTGGGGGAATATATTGTGTGTTAGACATCTCAGTTGCTCTGTACATACACGGAAAAAATCTACTCCACCAAAAAAAGTTTAGATTTTAGGTAAGGAATTGGGCCTCAATTCATTCAACTAATGTTTAGGAAGTACCTCCAATGTGCTCACATGTTGCCTCATATTTCTTTCAAATCTTAAGAACCCAAGAATACAGCCTTGATATCATAAAAGTAATAAAACGCCATTTATTAAGTTTTCTCTTCATGTGTTCACCGTATTTCACATCTTTTCTGAGTCAATTCTGTTCTGCCCACCTCGTAAGCTTCTATTCGTATGTTAAAACCCTCCTAAGCAGAGTCCTTCATCTATATAATCCCTCCTCTGAATTACTTCCACACAGTGTATAGGCTTTTGCTATTGCACATGTCACGTTACTTTGTAATTATCTCTTTCCAGGGCTATCCCAACACAGTGAACTCCTTAGAGCCAGATTTATTAACACAACACTAGGAATACCATCTCTCGATATCTCTGATACCTTAGCCAAGAATATAAAATCTTTTTGCAAACCTTTACACCTAGGGAAGTTACCAAAATCCTTCTCAGTATCTCTGTCTATCCAACATCATGGATAAAGTTATGAGACGAGGGTATCTTTGAAAGCATCTCAGTGACTCATCTCATGTTTTGTCCTATTTCTTCCTCCTCCCACTCCTGCAATCCCCAGCCTGAGACAGCAGAGGGTGTGCTGGAAAGCAGTCTTGAAACCTCCCCTTCAGAAATCCATTTTACAGCAACCCAGGTGCTGAGCCCCGCTCTGCCTGGGAACTGGTTCACTTTTTTCAAGGATGCCACATCTGCTCAGAACTTTTTTTCCAGTTAGTGAGTCTTCCTCAAATAGAGCCTCTGAGGGTTTTGATCTTAGAACCAATCAACTTCAGGCTGAAGATGCAGGGCACTGGCTGAGCTAGCACAGCTGGCTCAAACCCATGCTTTATTTGAAGGAAGGATAAACAAACACCCAAGTTTACAGTGTTGGGTGTTGAGGTCAAAGAATTCTCTCTGGACCAGGACTATTTATCAGACCACAACTGGAACTTGGTGACTGTTCTGTACCCTCATTAAAGCCGTGTTTTTAAAAATGACTAGAAGAACATACATGTCCATACAGAAATCTGTTGCATTTCTTTACACTAACGATGAAATGTCAGACAAGGGAAGTAAAAAAAAAATCTTTTAAAATTGCATCCAAAAAAAAATCTTAGGAATAAACCTGACCAAGGAGGTAAAAGACTTATAAGCTGAGAACTATAAATCACTGATAAAGGAAATTTAAGATGATTCAAAGAAATGGAAAGATATCCCATGCTCTTGGATTG